ACGCACAAGAAAATCGTCACTTCATTGGCTCACTTCAATACCTCTCCTTGACTCGACTTGATGTTGCATATTTTGTCTCCAAATTCTCACAATATATGAACGCTCTAAAGGTAGTTCACATGTAGGTTGTCAAACGTCTCCTTCATTACCTCAAAGGCACTTTGAATTATGGTCTTCACTCTTCACCTTATACATTCTTTTGACCTTCGCTTATGAGTATTTTACAACTCAATTAAGGTGGAGACTTATCTGACATGAAATCAATTATAGCCTACATCATCTACCTTGGTCTCAATGCTATCCTTTGGTCTTGTAAAAAGTAGAAAACAATTGGCAAATCATCCACGGAGACAAAATATCGTACCATTGGATCAACTACATGTGAATTTCTCTAGATCGAAGATTTATTCAAGGAACTTCAACTTCTTATTATTGGTGAGCCACTCATTTATTCTGACAATAATAGAACTACATATCTTTGTGCCAACCTAGTGTTCCACTCATGTATGAAACATATTTCCACTAATTATCACTTTGTACGTGACTTAATTACCAAGAAGGAACTTGTAGAGTCTTATGTTTCTTTTATCCATCACCTTGCAGGCCTACTCACCAAACCCATTGGTGCTACACAATATAAAGGATTAATGTCCAAGATTGGTATTGCCTCCTCCACCACCATCTTGCAAGAGTGTGTTTCTGTAAGTAGTAATTAAGATATTGTGGTCGAATTATTCAAATAATTGTAATTAATACCTTGTCATATTTTTTGGATATTTATCCTTTATTCATGTGTGTATATCCATTGTACTGAAAATATTAAAAATAAGAAAACTTAATTTTATTTTATTCTCTATACTAATGAGCCCGCTTATAAAAACTAGTAATATTCTTGGAAAGGTAGAAAATAACTCATAATATCTATATTTTTTTTTAAATATTTACACTAAGAGTATAAATTAATGAATAAAATAATAATTAAGTTGATCATTCTATTTTTTATTTAAAAAAATTAAAAGACTTAAATTCATATTTTATTTAATAATTTATATTTCATTTATTAACTTCTCTCATCACCCAAAAAAAAGCTTGTCTCTTTGGTTATTCCTTACCTCTTTAGTTGTCCCTTTAAACTTGATCAAACTCCTATATATGACTCAATGCATATATATCAACTCGTTCCCAATTTCTCACCTCTTTCAAAAGGTGCTTTTTGTTATTTTGAGTTGAAATTTACACATAATTTTTTTGTCTAATATATATATTTTGTCTTTATGATTCCCCAATGACATTATTTGTAACACTTTACCTAACAAAGACGACATTAAAAATAAAAACAATATTGGAGACATAGAGTATTAATTTAAGTCTAAAATCCTTCTTTTCAATGTTATTTTGGCATGTTAGAGAGATATAATTAGAAATGAAATATGTTAGAGACAAAAATATTCGTCTCTAAAGTTTCAAATTACAATTGTATCCCTAACTAATTTTTTTTCTCTTTCTCTAATTTTATCTCTAAGAAAGGAAAAACATTTCTCTTTCAAATTCCAATGATAATTAAAATTTTCTAGTAGAAAATATTATTGTATTAATTTCTAACGATGTAATTTATCACATTTAGAGTCATATTTGTGAAATTAGGCAACCAATATAATACAACAAACACTCGTTAAAAAAGAACATCACCAATGTAAGAAATTAGTATATATACAAGTGCAGATTAATGAGCAACAAATGTCCTCACTAGGTTTTCAATTTTTTCTTAACATATTATTTAAATATAACTATTTATATTCATAATTATTCATATTTTAATATTATAAAAAAGTTATTAAATCTTATTATAGTACCATTTACTAATTCATGCTATATCAGTTTTTGGTTTTCACTTATCTTACTCTTTTTTTTTAACTTATTTATCTATATTTTAAAAATATTTTTATTTTTATTCTTATTTGTTATTTGTACACTTTTTCTTTTAAATAAAACCATTATCAACATGTAAACACAAAAATTTAGATGGAATACTCTTACAAGCGGCAATACATTATACATAATTAACTTACCAGCTCTTTTTTTTTAATTTTTTTTCTTTTACTTTTTATTTAAATAAAATATGTAGTGGGAGATTTTTAATCGTATTGAAAATGAAAAAAAAAATCTAACTTTTATTTATTTATTAATAATAAGATATAACTCTTTTTTACTAAGTGGATGCTAACTATAAAAGTAAATTGATTAATTATATTCTATTTTAAGTTAGAAATTTAATGCTACAAATTTGTAAATATAAATACTATCTCCGCTACTTACAATTTTTGATCTTTCACTCAATAGATGCACCTTGGTTCCAAAAGATTTGATGATGGAAATTAGCATTCTGTTGCCCGCTATTTCTCTCACTTTCTGTACCAGCTCATGTCGAGAAGTGTTGTTTTCCAACAATTAACCCAAAGGAAGCTCACTAATATATAACAATTTCAGCTAAAAAAGTCATGCAACTGATTCAAACTCTAAAAAGCACTTACTCTATTATTTTTAAAATTTAGAAATGATGGTAATGTCTAGCAGGGGCAAAACCTTTGAATGCATTGAAATCAGAGTGGAATTGCATCCAAGGCAAAGAAGGCCTCAATGATTTATATATCGTTCCTCGCATGCCCTACAAAATTAAACACGCAGAGTATAGAGCAACACTAGGCATTAGTCACAAAACTAACAAACACCATGACAAAAGCATACAAATACTAAACATTTTATACAAGGAAGGAAGCCTAAAAGTCAAAACATATTCAGCCAAAACATGAGTATTGATTTGATTCCACCAAATAACATACTCCTTGGGATATCCGACACAGCGTCCAGTTCGAAATTACTATTAGGAAAAACTCAAGTCCCACATCGACTAGAGATTAAGCAATTGAATAGTATATAAGTGGAAAGCAACCCTCACCTTACAAGCCGGTTTTGTAGGGTTGAGTTAGGCTTAATCCACTATTCTAACATGGTATACGAGCCATTTAGATCCACTTTAAAAATGGGTCACCCACTATTGATGCATGTCTCATAGGCATGAGGGGGTGTATTGAGAAAAATTCAAGTCCCGATATAAGTGGAAAGCAACCCTCACCTTACATGCCGGTCCACATCGACTAGAGATTAGACAATTGAATAGTATATAAGTGGAAAGCAACCCTCACCTTACATGCCGGTTTTGTAGGGTTGAGTTAGGCTTAATCCACTATTCTAACAATTACACTCCTCAAAACTCCAACAACATTGATTGGAACCACACGGCACCATCACAGAGGATGACACATATTCTTACCAATTGTCACTGGTTCAAGCAAAACAGTCGAGTTAATTATAAGCAAATTAAACAAGTCAAGTTTGAATTATACGCTGGTTTATTTAAATAAATAAATTGGATTTGGATCAAATCTATTTTATAAATCAAACTTAAACTTCAAATGATGAAAAGCTTTTTCTCGGTGATTAGAGTTGATTAATTAGAGTTCGAATCTCAAATAACATAACATCTAATCATTAAAATTTATGGATTAAAAAAAATAAGAGTTGATTTCATGACCATGAAGTCAAAAATTTAAATCGCGGAAAACCTCACCTAACTAGGAGTTTCATAACACCAAATTATCTCTCCTTTTGAATTTAAACTTCAAATAATATATATGTTGTTTATAATTCCTCTCCTGTCGAATCTGTTTGCTACGGTGAAAGAAAACTGAAATGTAATTTGGAAAGAAAGTTCCTTACTTTAAGATATAAAGATTTTTCTTTACATTTTTTCTAACTAAATAATAAAAACATATCATCTATACTTTATTTTATCTCTGTTTTCTTTTTCACCCATCAAACATATTAGGGTTTTTTTTATATTTTTAAATACTCCATTTTTTCAAGTGCTAGCTTTAAACAACATGCATTTTTTCTCTATCTCCCTCTTCTTTTTAATTTGGCCTTTGATGCCTATCTCATTCCCTTCTTCTCAATAAATAGTACAAAGATGTTTTCAATTATTTATGATAGAATAAATCTAATTCCTAATTTGTAGGAAGTCTAATTATATGTAATAAATAAATTGATTGCTATTCCTAAAATACATAATATATAATAGGAAACAGTAATCGTAATTGATTCCCTCATTAACATCCCCCCTCAAATTGATGCGGCTGATCAAGAAGCATCAATTTGTGAACTAGAAATTGATGTCGTGGACGAGGAACAGCCTTGGTAAATATGTCTGCAAGCTGAAGTTGAGAGGTGACATGAGGAAGGGAGATAACATGATTGTCCAAAGCTTCTCGAATAGAATGGCAATCCACTTCAATGTGCTTAGTGCGCTCATGAAAGACTGAATTGGTAGCAATTTGAATGGCACTAGTGTTGTCAGCATGGAGAGGTGTTGCATCTGTTTGAGGGAATCCAAGCTCAGCCAAAAGACCACGAAGCCAAATAATCTCAGAACAAGCTGTTGACATAGCCCGATACTCAGATTCGGTGGAGGACTTAGAGACACGAGACTGCTTTTTACTTTTCCAGGAAATCAATGCAGGCCCAAGGAACATACAATAACCAGTGACGGATCTCCGAGTATCAGGACAACCAGCCCAATCAGCATCACTATATCCCACCAAGGTAGTTGGGCAATCGTTGGGAAAGAAAAGACCACGCATAGAGGTACCTTTCAGATAGCGTATAATGCGACGAACAGCAGCTAAATGATGATGACGTGGAGTGTGCATAAATTGACTCACCTGTTGGACTGCAAAAGCAATGTCAGGGCGGGTAATCGTCAAATAATTAAGACTACCTACCAACTGTCGATATAGTAAAGCATCCGATAGAAGATCACCCTCATCACGATGATATTTAACATTAATCTCAAGAGGAGTATCCACCGGTGTAGTAGAGTGGAGACCGGCGAGAGAAATCAAGTCTTCAACATATTTATGTTGATGGAGAAAGAGACCTGTTGATTGTGATCACTACATAAATAACAGTAAGGCCCTCCGTGAGGCCATGTGCTTCATGATGGATCCTACATCAGGGAAAAAAATATGCTATGTACAGTTTCCTCAAAGATTTGATGGGATTGATCGACATGATAGATACTCGAATCGCAATGTTGTGTTCTTTGATGTATGTAGGAATTTGCTCTTATTTTTGTGATTACATATATATACCCTGCATTTTGATTTGTTGGAAATGCTAATATTTATTTCAATATGTATAGATCAATATGAAAGGTTTGGATGGCATCCAAGGACCAATATATGTGGGAACTGGGTGTGTCTTCAGGAGGCAGGCACTTTATGGATATGATGCCCCTTCTTCAAAGAAACCACCAGGGAAGACATGTAACTGTTGGCCTAAATGGTGTTGTCTGTGTTGTGGATCAAGGAAGAAAAAGAATAGAGCAAAGTCAAGTGTGAAAAAGAAGATAAAGAATGATGCGAAGCAAATGCATGCACTAGAAAATATTGAAGAGGGAATTGAAGGTATAAAACACCTCAAATTAGCTGTGTTTCATTTGGAAACATTGAAATGTATTCTAAATAGATCTTTGAAACGCATTGGATTGAATTTTGCACTACTATTATAATATATAGTACATACTTATGTAGCATACTTTTACTGTTTTTACATGTATACAAAACTAACTAGTTTTTCAATGGCATTTTGTGTTCTTGAAACCTTGATCACAGGAATTGACAATGAGAAGTCGTCACTAATGTCTCAACAAAAGTTTGAGAAGAAATTTGGGCAATCATCTGTTTTCATAGCTTCAACACTGTTGGAAGATGGGGGTCTTCCAAAAGCAGCAAGTTCTGCAACACTCTTGAAAGAAGCCATCCATGTAATTAGTTGTGGTTATGAAGATAAGACAGATTGGGGGAAAGAGGTGTGCTATATGCTTAAAATTCAAGGCTTTGAAGCTCTGTTAAGCTATGAACTACATGTATATGGCTCTTCTAACCTCTTTTACATTTGTTTTTCAGGTGGGGTGGATATATGGCTCTGTTACTGAAGATATTTTAACTGGTTTCAAGATGCACTGTCATGGTTGGAGATCTGTGTACTGCATGCCAAAAAGGCCTGCTTTTAAGGGTTCAGCTCCTATAAATCTCTCAGATCGTCTGCATCAAGTTCTTCGTTGGGCACTTGGATCTGTTGAGATCTTTTTTAGTAGGCATTGTCCTATATGGTATGGTTATGGTTGTGGCTTGAAATCGCTGGAACGCTTCTCTTACATAAACTCGGTTGTTTATCCTCTGACTTCAATCCCCTTAATAGCCTACTGCACTTTGCCAGCCGTCTGTCTGCTCACTGGGAAGTTCATAGTCCCTGAGGTAGGATTAATTTTATTAAATTTGATTACCACCATGAGTCTTAGTACAGGTTACATCCTAGGACTGCATAAACATAGGAGCAATTCTAGCATAAGTACAGTGCCTATAGGCACAACCATTCGAAAGCTAAAGATGTGTCAAAATTATAATGAAGTCTGTAGTTAAGTGTGTGCTAAAGTTATTTGAAGAGTGCTACGTTAAAATTTGTTTAAAATTACCAAATTGTGAGAGTCATTAAATAGGGTGTGAGACTTGTCAAATTTTGGTGTTTTCCAATAAAAATTAATATAATTCACTTCTATATTTCAAAAGCCAATATATTATCCAAAAACTTTAATTACTAGTAACTTTGTTGTTTGTTTTAAGACTAGTATTTAGCATATAGAAGTGAATTATATTATATTATATTATATTATATATATATATATATATAATAAATTATAATATAAAGATGTCTATATAAAAATAATTTATAAAAATTAATGTTTGCAGGAGAAACATTGGATCTGCCGCATGTCACAACTTTTGCTTTGACCTTGAGCAAAATAGGCGATCGTATTATCAGAAATATCAGACATGGAGCCTTGGGTAAGTAGGCGTTGTTCCTCCCTAAGTAATTCACCAACGCAAACTTCTAGAGAAGGAACCGGATGGCGGTTCAACAGTGCAGCACGGGCAGCTTCATATTCTGGGCGAAGTTTCATGAGAAATTGGTCACGTTTACTAACCTCGTAAACAGCTTGAATGGCAGGTAGTGATTCGGTAGGAACCTTAGAATGTAAGATGGCTGAATGCTCTGCCCATAAATTAAGAAAACCAGAGTAATAGTCCTGAATGGACATATCACCCTGTTTATAATTTGCAATGTCAAGCTCTAGCTGAAAGCGTTTTGCAGCATTATCTTGATTGTAAAGTTGCTTCAAGTAATCCCACATGGCTTTGGCAGTCGAAAACGAACGCAGATTATTAACCAATTGAGGCTCAATGGAACCAAGAATCCAAGAAATAACTTGTGCATCCTTGGTCTCCCAAGCTGTCAAAGCAGCGTTGTCTGTGGGGACAGTAGAGGACCCGTCAATGTGACCCCACATCCCCTTCCCTTTCACGAACATCTTGAACTGAAACTCCCAGGCAGCATAATTTTTGCCGCTGAAACGGATACAGAAATTCTCCATAGCCATGAAGACACGAACAAGAACGGGAGAAAACAAAAGTGAACCTCGAACCAGAAGCACGAACAAGAAGTGAAACACGAACGAGAAGCACGAGCCCTAAACGGCTGAGAGAAGCACGGACTGAGACACAAACCAGAGGCACGAGCCCTAAACGGACTGAGAGATAATTACAGGCTAGAAAACCGGACTCGTGATACCATGTCAGAAAAGTTGGCCTTTGATGCCTATCTCATTCCCTTCTTCTCAATAAATAGTACAAAGATGTTTTCAATTATTTATGATAGAATAAATCTAATTCCTAATTTGTAGGAAGTCTAATTATATGTAATAAATAAATTGATTGCTATTCCTAAAATACATAATATATAATAGGAAACAGTAATCGTAATTGATTCCCTCATTAACATTTTTAATCTTTCTCATTAAGTGTCGCACAACATTTTGGGTGTTCCCAAATCATTTGTTATTATACCGTCTGTGTTTATGATCGACTTCATCGAGCCAACTAGAGGAGGCCAACTTCACCAAGCTGACTAGGGGATACCATTGAACTTAACCAACTAGAGGTGGTTAACTGGATTTAGCCGAATTGAATCAAAAAGTAGATTCTCCAATATGAATAAGACTAATTAGTGACTTGACTAGTTAGTCACACCGACATTGTTAAACGTGGACCCTATGATTATTTACTGGAAAAATATATGTTATTACTCTGAAATTTTTGAAACCTACAGCTGCAATGATTGGAGTTTAAGATTAAGATAAATCAGGTTATTATTTTGAATATTTTGGACCTGAATAGTGAATAGATTATTTTAGAAGTGATCTTTTGCGGCCCGAATAATTAAGATATTATAAGCAAGTAAAACCCTAACTTGCAAGGTCTCTGGTGACAGCTGAAGATGATGCCAAAGGCGGGAAAATCTTTGATGAACATATACGGTCGGAGGCTGGGAAAAAAGGTGGGTCCAATCTGGCAGCAAAATAACAGAAACACTAATCATTATTTATGTCATGACTAAGCTATATTGTATATAGCTAGGTAGCTTACAAATCAGGGGACAAAAGACAAGAACCAACATACAAATAAAATATAGCTATGTGCTGGATAAAGATCCTGTCTAGACTGACCCACAGATTCGTCCATCTACATAAAACAAATTCACTCTACTTCCAAACTCAGATGTTATCATTCCCTTTTTTTTTCTTTACTCATTTTCCTGCGCCGCAGTCACCGTTCGCACTTGCCAGTGTCGCGCATGCGTATATCATATGAAAATTTAACGTACATGGAATTCATGTGACCCAGATACGTAATCTCTTTACATGCATAACAGGATTACATAATTTAAATTTGGATTTTGTTATATATGATTTGCACTAGCACTTCATGCACCCATTTATTTACTTTGGACTTTGGAGTTCGTTCGCACTAGCTATAGCTAGCCATAAAAATGTGTCAAATAGATCGCTAATAATTAAGAGGGTGTGGGATCGGGAGCTAGCTAGCTATACTATGTACATGGTGCTATAAGGGGTGTTGTGTGGGGTTTTTAAATTGGTTTTGTTTGCATTATTGTTATTATTCATGTTCTGATGGAAAACTTTGGGATGGATTGAAAAGAAGTTTCATATGGTGGGGCTGATCCTTTGGATTTATTTGACCCAAAGAACCAAAGTGACTGCACCCATTACGAGGGATAAGTATTCGATTTTTTGACCAAAATCAAAATCATATTCCGCGGACCACACATATCGCATGTAACTTATTGAGAGGATAATGATATAGAATGAAACTTGACACTTGATCTTACAAACTTCTCGTGAACTTTAAGGTCTGTGGGATAAAAGTACTTGTATCAAAATCAGTGAGAAATTTATGGGGATGAAATCTGTTTAAATGTCAGTGGCCTATGATTAAAAAAGAAAAGAGAAGAAATCATTAATCTACGATCGCATTACAGGAAACAAGGCCATGATGGAGGAGCAACCCGCACATATCTTACGAGCTTTAAGAATATATATATTATATCAATTAAATGACTTCAGTTATTTAAAAAAAGTAAATATTAAATAGTTTGTGATTTTAATATAATAAATACTTTAAATAATTTTTGTTAGAGATTTTTATTTATTCAACCACTTTTTAAAGACATTAATTACTTGGCATATGTTATATCTTCTAATATACCACTTATAAATACCATTATTTTTTGGGATGAAGGTTTTCAGTTACCTTCTTTTATAATTTTTTTTTATACAATTTCTCTTAATTTTATTTTAATCTGAACTTGCCTTCTTTCCATGCACAAAACAGTGGCTCGTAAGACAATTTGAAATTTAGACATGATTGAAAAAGGTAAAAAGTAAGTGGTATGTTCTAGATACTTTAATAATTAATACCCTGTTATTAACCAAAAGCAAAGGAGGTAAAATATAATAATATGAAGAAGAAGAGGAGGAGTATCTAATAGGGCAAAAAGATTACAAAATTTTGGAAGAAAAAATGACCCTAAAAAAATGTGTGCTTTAAATATTTTTGAGAAAACTGCAGCTTTTAAATTTGAGTAGAGATCGAGTTGGCCTTTCTGAAATGTCATTTAATTTTTTAGGAAAAGAAGGAATGGAAAGAAAGAAGGAAAAAAAAAAAAAAAAGAAAGCAAAATATGCAATTGCAGCAGTAAAGATATATATACCTTGAGAATCGAATGCTATTGGCAGTTTTGAAGTTTTCCAATACCCTAAAAAAATAGAGATACTTATATAGTTGATTTCTAAAAAATAATAATAAATCTTTTGGTAAGTCTAATAACACTTATCTTATAGTAACATAATATTTTTCACTAAAAACCATTTTTACTTACAATTATATTTTCTTAATTGTTAATTAAAAAATGTAAATATATAAATTATAATAACATAATATATGTTATTGAATTTATTCAAAATCATCTTAGTGTAAGTAAATGCCAAAATATATGTATGTAATATCTGTATTTTATTTTTAAAAAAATTCTATATATAATATTAACTTGTAATATTTGCATGATAAGCTATTCTGTACACAAACTACAAAGGCATGATTAACATAGATGTGCATATATGCATATGATAGAAAGCCCAAGAACACTAATTTGTGATTAAACCATATACGCACGCACAGAAACCTTTGTCTGTGGACATGTCATGATCAACTGAAATAATTTTTATGACAAAAAAATATTCTTTTTTCTGGTAAGTCCAGAGAATACTTATACAACTTTGTCTCTTTTACTGCTTCAACTGTCGTGAGTGGGAATATGATAATGATATTACTCTATTGGGTAATTGCACTATATTTTTCTTTATATTTTTAATTAAGATAATGAAATAAAAAATACATATTCTAATAGAGTTTCTTTTATTTTTTGTTTTTCGTAAAAATAAAGTGTAACATATATAACACAATTGTTTTTAATGTACAAATCTTATTCTGTATAGGGTAAACATAGCACAATTGTCAATCTAAATCTTACAATCATCAATATAACTTATATTTATCAATCATAATAATATTACCTCCCTTGTTATATCTAATTTATCAAAATTAAAAAAAAATTAATTTAATCTATAACAATAAATTTATCATATATATATATATATATATATATATATATTTTAAGACCTTATACTATTCCTCTTTCTTAATTAATACTTATATATATTTTAATTAGTTAAAATATATGTCATATATATACTATCACTCTCTTCAAATTAATACTTATTTTTTTCCTAATCAATTAGAAAATATGTTCTTTAGAGGGTTTATAAATAATTTATTTTATCAAATTAAAAAAATAAACTTCAATTACGAATATTTTAGTCTTAAAATAATTAATATAGGAGATAATATGAATTTGATTTTATATAAAAGAATAAATAATAATTCTAAGTTAAATTTTATAAATAGTAATTAAGGTAATGTAGATTTGAACAAATATTCAATAGAATCACTATAAAAAGATATTATATAAGTGATATATAAAAGGTGTACGTTACTATTAGATATATATAAATAGAAATTTATTTGACATACACAAAATTTTAGTTTTAATTTTGAATAAAATTTAAATATATATATATATATATATATATATATATATATAAAGAGAAAATTTACTAAAGATCACACACCAGAACTCCGTTCAGCCAAAGTAGCCCATTGCGGAAGGGTCCTCCTTGGATCTTCTATCTCCTCCAAGTCATCATCTGATG